CGCTCGATTAGAGCAATGCTACAAAGCAATCAGCAACCCTAACTTCAGTCCAGAGCTTTATTCATTTCACTTGGACTCGGCTAAAGCTGACTTCAAGTGAAAGGGGCTAACTGTTATGGGGTACAATTGTTTCCGAATATATGATTTGATGAGTCACCATCTCCATCCAGCCAGACAAGCCGACACGCCAGTGTCGACACGAGGAGCGGTGCTAATCGGCACGAAACATCCTGACCTCCTAGATGAGTCGACATCTCAACTGACAGGAGAGATAGTTAGAGAGCAGCTAGCAGTCCAACTCAGCCGACCAGACGAGTCAACATTCATCAATATAGACACGAAAGGCGGTACCAATCGACCCTCTCGTAGTAGGCAACTTGCCAAGAGACCAGTCGAGTCGATACTCCTCTATGTTGACTCGAAAGGCGGGACGAGTCATCACCTGACTCCATTCAGCCAACAATCCTTGATTCGTCACTCCTCTCAACGAGTCGACTCTCCTCGCGAGTCCCATCATGAGGGATATTGCTTCTCAGTTATGCTAGAAGATAATTCGCTAAAGCTTATCCATCCTGACAACAAGCCATATCATGTTTACTCAAAGACCATGCATCATCACGCCGCTTATCAGCCCACATCCCATCGATCGCTCCTCAAATCGAGGCCGAAGTGATCTTCCTCCTATCACCAGCCAACACATGTAGAACAAAGGATGACTCACCTTTCAGCTCACACTTTGTCACCGCCATTTGCATGGCCGAAATGACCAATCTGCCATTGACATCCTCTTTATATACAGATGCTATTCGTCATAGTCATAGGTTTGTAATCTAAACTCTCCTCCTGACCTAAATCTTAGAGATCATCATCTCTAATGCACATGGTATAAGAACACATAGTTCTATTACTCCACTCAAGCTTAAGTTCATCAACTAACTTGATCGTCGGAGGTATCGCGAGGGAATCACCACCCCACCCTCTCACGACCTTCTTCTGTGCAGATCGTTCACTCTAACTCAGTGGCCAAGACATAAAGTCGGGGAAGGAAGCGGTCTCATCTATCATCTTTCATCACTCTGCAACCATCCTATTCTGGATTATTTAGTGTGATATTTAGCATCAACACATTCTATTAGCGCAATTCTAGCATATGATGCATCATCAGATAGTCTCCATGTTTGCAAATCACAAGCAACATTACCTATTTCTTGAAGAAAAAATACTTGTCACATATGAAGAACTTGAAACTTGTAATATTAGCTTATGAAAATTTTCAAGAAAAATGCATAACCTTCTCACATTAACCCATCCTCCAATGACATTCCATGAGCTACATTTCCACTACTTAGTTCAAATCTAAAGAAGGAATCCTCTTCACCATATCTTTCAAAAGCTTTTTCATAGTTTTGAGCAATGTTCAACATCAAAAAAGTAGAATTTCATCTAGTACATACATCCAAACATAAAGATGAATCAAATACAGTTTTTTCTAGTTCAATGCACATTTTGAATTTAGATAATCTAGATGGAGATAACCTCACATATCTCACTGCCGAATGAGCAGAAGCAACGGAAAGCCCCAAATCTTTGAGCCCATCACTAACAACAAGATTAACAATATGAGCTATACATCTCATATGAAGATATTTTCCACCCAACATTGTGTCTCCCCAATTGTTGAACCTCTTTTTTATGTATGTAATCATGGTGTCACTTGAACTAGCATTATCCATCGTGATGGTGAAAAACATTCTCAATTTCCCAATCTAGTAAACACTTGACTGCTACCTTCCCAAGATCATCTCCTTTATGACTCAAAATAGAACAAAAGTTTAATACTCTTTTGCTCAATTTCTAGTCACTGTCAATAAAATGTGCCATTAGACACATGTAATTAATATTTTGACTAGAAGTCCAAGTATTGGTTGTAAGACGTACCCTTTGACATGTAGCTTTCAATAAGTTCTTCAAATTTTTTTCTTCAAGGTAAATCACATAGCAATCTCGTTGGATTGTCCAACGAGATGGAATATGGAATCTAGGGCAAGCGGTGGACATGAATTTTTAAACCCTAAACTCTCTACTAACTTGAATGGAAGATTGTCTAAAATGATAAAATAATTGAGGTCTTTTCTCATGGCCCCTTCATCATAACTCCAACTACCAAGTGTTCTCATTTTCGTACTACACTCCACTCTATGATTCAAGATTTTCTTGTAAATTTAATGGCTTCTCGAATGTCGGCATTATGTGTGTGCTTTTTGCAAGACTCTATGTGATTTAGTAGTGATGTAGTACCTTTTTTTTACACTGTGCAAAATACACTTTTTCACAATAGTTGCATTTTGCTTTTGGGTCACCAATTTAATCTTTAAACTTAGTAAAATGATCTCATCCCTCTGCTCTACCTTTTATTGCTTTCCTTTTAGTCGAAGTATGAGACCCTTGGGTAGATTGATTAGAATTAATTTGACTTGCATTTATATTAGGATTCTCCTCTTGTGAAGCCTACAGATTATTTCAAGTAAATTAGGGTTTTTAGCACACTAACATGCGTAAAATAAAATTTAGGGTTTTTACTTTTTAAGTACAATTTACTAACATGCAGCAAGAAGCCAAGAGCTAAATCAGTCTCAATCATAAAATTGAATTAAACCAACTATTTCTTACTAGTCTACAATTTACTAACATGTAGCAAGAACTAAAAAGCTTGGATCTTTTCCCACTGAAAGCATAGAATCAAAATTAGGGTTTTCAGTTCATACATCCACTGTGGCTGTCCCAAAGTAGGAAATGGATCTTGAGGAGATGGTTCGGCCATGAAGAGAGATGTTAGGATTTCAGATAGAATTTTGCTCGGGAGGTATAGATGACGACGATGATGAGTGGATGCTCAGGAGGTACAGAAGACCAAAGAGGCAGCAACAGCAATAAAGAAGCAGTGAGTCGGCAGTTCGAAGGCGATGTCGACGGCAATGGCGATTGATGGTGACTGAAGAGGAAGAGGTGAGTCGGCGAAGTCAATGGAGAAGTTGCATTTCTTTTATTTAGGGATTCAGGGTATTAGAATATGATGAACGGGTATGGGTTCTAATGGGTACGGGTTAAGAAAAATATAGGGTTAGTGATGCGGTCGGTTGGGGCGATTCGGGTTGAAAAGTTTTCAACCCAATCCCAACCGATCAATCAAGAAAACTGACCCGAACTGCTAATTTTCGGTCTGTTCGGTCGGTTTTTTTGTCTGAACCGAACCATGCACAACCCAAATTGTACCTGATGCACACTAATAGTGTCCTAATGATATAAAAAAGGATGCATGCTATTAAATTAGATGTATGTCGGCTCAAGGGCCAGAAAGTTCTAATACGTCAAGCACAAGTTTATAACAAAAATAGCGAGCATGATGAGCCACCTAAAGAGAGAGGAGGAAGAAGAGCTTAGTATAGCACAACACAACAAGAAAGAAGGAAGAAATGATTGCATTTACAATTGTGAAAAATAAATGAATTTCACTCATAATTGTAGGGCAATCGCAAAGATTTATATTGAGAATCCTACTCTTGTTTGCTTATTCTGCTAATTTCGTAATAGATTTAGGAATAAGAAATCACGTCACGAGGATCATAATCTTTCATGTATCCACATCCATGGGATCAAAGATGTCAATAATTGTCTTTAAAATATGGCAAAACTTTATTTTGTAACGATCTTTTGGGTATCTTGCATATGAGATGCATCTTTTGGAAGTTAACAGTTTAACTGCCAGAGATCTTCCCTTCTTTTTTCAAGAGGGGAATCTACTACTATTATATTTGAAACAGTCAAAAATATGGCTTTGGTTTAATATAGAAATGGTTTCATATAGGTGTAAACTTCTATAATGCATATTTGAATTATTCAATCATAAAAAATTGTGATTTTTGCAATAGGGCATGTGAGAGCTAGTCATCTTCAGGGAAAGAGTGTGGATTTACAGACTACGGACGTAACGTTTAAAGATAGGGTAAATTACACTGAAACCTAGTAACTTTCAGTGTTTTGCAATAAACTCGCAATTAACTTTCAAAATCACACTAAACGCTCGATAACATTTGCGTAAAACCCCCGATAACTTTTAGGTAAATTGCACTAAACACCCAGTAACTTTTAAAATGTCTTTTTATGTTATTTTTCAATTCCAATTTATCTGCAAAATGCGAAACTTATGGAGGGTTTTCTGCAATTATAAAAAATTATTGGGGGCCTAGTGCGATTGAAAGCTGTTGGGGTTTACCGCAAAATGCTAAAAGTTCCTGAGGGTTTAGCGCAATTTACCCTTAAAGATAATAAGAGTTGTTGTCCTTCCCATGTCATATGTAAAAGTAGTGAGCATTTTTTCCATTTTATTTATACATGGTGATTGAATTGTATGATCTGGGTTTCTGGGGTGAAGTTTTACACTTGGATGATTGCAAGCACCTCTCACGCATATCTCACGTCTTGATGTACAAAAATTACGATCTAATAAATTTTCAAAATGCAAACAATCATCCATATAGATGACATTTGGACAGAGTTACTATAAAAAATTATAGGGTAAATTTTCAAAATGCAAACAATCAGTGAATAAGGTTCAACTCTTAAGATTACATGAAGAATGATCATAGGAGGGTCATAGGACACTTGGGACAGAGTTACTATAAAAAAATTATAGGGTAAATTTCACATAAACCCACCGGCCTAATACCTCTAGTAGGACTCAACACCCCCCAGTTTAACCTAAATTATAACAAAAATCAATGTCGTTTTGCTGACACACATAAAATTTTAAACATCGTTTCACATTGCTGCAGGTTTCAGAATAACTGCATGCGCTGGTCTCGCCGCACGCCAAATGCGCTGAAAGAATTCTATCGATACTTCAATAATAGGACTTAATTAGCTACAAATCCATAGTATCTATCATTCTGGAATTGAACAATAATACCCAAATTTAGATTAGTCAAACTGTAAACTTGTAGTTTCATCATATTTGTTTGTGCAATTTTTCTTCGGCCAGAAGGTTAACCAACAATTTCCACAAAACTAATGCATTATCTTCGGCATAACTTATTTTGTTAATCGTGTACACACCAACCGTAAGTAAAGAAAACCAATATATTGCTTATTTCCGCAGAAGCATGTCTCCAGAAATGTTTGGAAGAAAGGGCAAGATGAAAGAAATGGAAAGAAAAGAAAAGAAAAGAAAAACCAGTAATAGAAATGCCAGCAAGGTAATTTTTTTGCTTTCAGTAGTTGTTCCCTCGATCTTCGCCTTCAGTTTCATTCATAAAGCTTTTGGAGCTCATGTTTGAATTTTGCCTTCAGTTGCTCCCTCTTTAACTTAAGGGCAGCAGTTACCAGTCCTATTTCTGGAGTCCATGGATCTGGCAGCAAGGTAATTTTTGCAGGTATTTCAAACTTGTCGAGCTTCATTACTTTAGCTGCCTGCACATTTACAGCAGAAGCCACAAAATTTTGTGGTCGAATAAATTATTAAATGCATAGTTCCATAGAGATGCATAAAATTGGCATGTATATATTCAGTGGATGAGTTTCCTGTTACTATTATTCGTCAGTCTAAAACTTAATATAGCCTAAGACTAAACTCTCAAGTTTAAACTCCGATTGATGCAAAGCATTTACGACTTTTTCTTATAGTTAAGTTTTTAGTATTTTGATTTCAACGCACCTAAACTTGCTTCCCTTTTGTGGTACGCCGCTATTTTAACACTGCAACAAATATTATCAATCTGAGTGGAAAACAGAACACATGTATACAATTCAGCTGATATGAATTTCCTGGTCCTATCAGTCATCACTCAGAACCTTATATAGCCCAACTCTAGACCATGACTTTAAACTCCAGATTGATGCAAAGCATTCACAATTTTTTTCTTACAGTTACGTTTTTGGGATTTCATTTTGATGCTACTTCAGTCTCCATACGTTGTTGTACATCACTATTTTAACACTGACACAAATTTTATCAAACAAAAAAAGTAAACTCGTGATCTTTGTTGGAGTGCATCTTTGACTAGAAACTGACCTTCACAAGCGATTGCAGGACTTCATTGATAACTTCATCTTTCTGACAAAGTTCTGGAAAATCTTTGAATTGGACACCAGAATTCTTGGCCCACGCTTCGACTGCCTTCTGAGAGGGCACAACCAACGCCACACAGAAGTTATGGAAAGGATCAGCATGGACCATAATGTTGTCTACGTATTTGCTTGATGCCAATGCTGCCTCAATCTGTAGACAACAAGATTTACAACTGAATATGAAATCATCCATTTACACTGACATTTGAAATAATCTCAGAGAAATGATGAAACTGTGTACCTTTCCAAGAGAGATGTATTCTCCATGCTGAAGCTTCACAATATCCTTTTTTCTGTCAATGATTTCAAGGCATCCATCAGGGTGAAACTGCCCAATATCTCCTGTGTAAAACCATCGAATCCCTCTTTCATCTACCTGGAGCGGTGGGGAAAAAACTTCATTCCAATATCGATAGAGTCAACTATATGAAAAGAAATAGCAGTATGACCTTACTTTGTAAACCTCATTGGTCTTTTCATCATTTTTAAAGTACCCCATAGTTACACTGAATCCACCGACTATAATTTCACCTCGTGGCATAGGGGAATCTGAAATTCTGTAGCCACCTTCCTCCCACGACACTAGCTGAAATAAATATAAATATTTTATACCATAAATGTAAGAAGCTGCAAAAATATGCGGTTATTTGCTTCTTGATGATATCATAAAGTGTTTCAGTACCTTAATATAGGAACATGGAATGGGGGGACCGACACGGCCTACGCTTGGGTCATCATGTTCAGAAAAACAAGCTCCGGCACATGTTTCCGTTAGTCCATAGCCTTGACCTACCGGAATCCTAAAGAGTTCATGAACATGCGAGGTGAATTTATATGGAAACCATATCACATAAACACAAGTTGTTCATACATGTCTGAATAAAAATTTCATTCTCATATTACTGGTATAGCAGCCCGAAAAAGATTTTCAATATAAGTGATTACCCCATGCATATATTGACGAATCTCTGTGTATCACTAGATAAAGGAGCTCCGCCACAAAGAACGAACCGCAGTTGTCCTCCAAGAATTGAACGTATCGGTTTAAAAATAATAGAATCCCACAAAATTCTTTCTATCCCCCAGGCTCCAAGCCAATAATTCCCTTCAACTGCCGTAAGCCGACGTTTGTATACGAAGTTAAAGAGCTTCTTGGATATTCCACCCTTCTCATCAATCTGCACATGTGAAAGTGAAATTGGGATATTTCAGAAAAAATGAATATTACAGATATGTGATCCCAAATGACTAAAAAAATACAGGTGATGGGTATCTAGCTCCAAAATGTGAAAAATTATTTTTCTGCATAAATCTCATACCTTCTTCAGAACTCCATCCCGAACACGGTCTAGAATTGCAGGAACGGCTGTCATAAGGGTTGGGCTTAACATAGAGGCATCACCTTGTGTTCCTTTCTTGATCTTATTTGACGTGTCAGTCAAGGTCAATGGCGATCCATAGCCTATCGCAACACCTGACGTCATCATTACAGCCTGGAAACCTACTTTGTGAGAACATTGCTTAAATATTTTTCTGCTACAGGTGTGTAGAAAGAAAGAAAGATCAGATGTGCTAACCTCAGCTGCTAGTTCAAAAACATGAGCCAGGGGCAAGTATGCCAAGTAAATATCACCATTTCCTATCCTTGGAACGATGGTGGTAACTGCTGCTGCAGTAGCCACTATGTTTCCATGAGTAATCATGACTCCCTACAAAATGTCACCCAATAGGAAAATTATTGACAGAAAAATATTAAATAGACAGAGACAGAACTTACATATACTGCTCTATTCGCCTAAAGCTTATTGACATCCTCTAATTATTGTTGAACTCTCTTAAAGTTCTTTTCTCATCTTCTAACTGCTACAGACCCCTTTATATCATGCTGAGCATAACCACTTCTCTATGAGAGAAGGTGGAAATTTTGATAGAATCTAATTACAGAACAATTACAATTTTGGTCTGAAGAATGCAGCTTTTCATAAACTTTTAGCATGATGAAGGCAGATCCTGCAAATATCAAGATACTCATGAAATTATCCTACAAACTACGCCCATTTGTAACTAATGTAGCAAATGTTAAGTTACATGCTGAAGTGATGGGGGGGGGATCTATTCTGGCTTCCCAAATAAAAGGCTAATATACTTTCTACAGTAATCTCACATGTTGGCATTATTCAACCTCCTCAATCATGGTAAATCTTCAAAAATTGCACTTCTGAGATCCCAATAGAGTAGCATGGATATCATTTCTTCTCATTTTAACTGGTCTAAGTGGAATCCCACGTCACTCAGACACCAAGAGTTGCAATTGATGATCAACACGAGTTCATAGCTCTTTGTAGGAAACTATTTCTATGTCGGAGCAAGAATGACGCTATCACCTACAGCTCCAATAACTCTGTGGATTGCGTCCCCTAGTCCCGCCCTTCACCTATAAAGAGCATCAAATTATCTAACAAGTCGGAATCCATCATCTTTATACACATTTCTTAGGCCAGCAAATTATTATCACAAATTATGCAAATCAGATCTTCTAAAAACCTTACAAAGGGATGGTAAATATTGGTTCTATACTATGCTTGCATTGGAGCATAAATAAGCTTGTTTCTACTTAGACTTATACTGCTTCTCAGTGCAATGCAATTTCTCCAGAACAAACTTGTTCACCTTGACCAATCTTCCTCACAATTGGAGTCATTGGTTCATCATATTTACTTTAGTACAGCTTTAACTGTCAATGGCCTACAAGAGTCAAGGCAAGCCCATCACATTACATTTTTCATGGCCATGTAATTGGGTAGCAATGCAAGGGATTGATATCATATTGGCAAGCAATCATAAAACTGAGCTAATCGTTTTATTGGAATCTGCATGGTTTACTATTTTTTCTCCACAGTAAATATTCCTGAGGTATAAAGCTTTACACAAGATGATAGATGATAAAAATATGAGAGAAATACCGATCCGGAGTTTAACGTCCTAATAGGCAATCTATTCCTCTGTAATAATGGGAGGACCCAAGAATCACTATTCATGCTGCAGTAAATGCTACAGTAATTTATAGTTGCGTTATTGCTGCAGCATTTTTCCAAAAATATTACTGTAGCATAGGCGGGACATTGTAGAATTATTTTTAAAATATCACTGTAACATTTTAATAATATATTACTGTAGTAGAGGTGGGATAATGTGGCATTTTAAAAAATATTACTGTAGCATTTTGAAAATATTACTGTATGTTTTAAAAAACTGTAGCAATTGAAAAACGGGACTGATGTAGCGATAAAAAAAGGAAGGTTGTGCTTCGCACGGGGCGCACACTAGTATTGCATTATTTCAGTTCAACTTGCAACTAGTTTCTAGCTGCAATAATTGGGACACTAGGCAAATCATCTAACCATGCATTTAATATTGTATTATTTTAGTCTAACTTTTAAGTAATCCCAGGCTGCAAAAGTTGCAATACTAGGCAAATCTTGCTAGAACATCTCATGCTCAAACTCACGGAAAAGAACATATAACACAGAAAGGTTGAAACTCATCATAGATATCAACCAAATAGACATTTCAAGAAAAGATAAGGATGAAGACAATAATAACTTTTAAAACTTGATAAGGTCTATATGATAAGTGGCAAATTTATAAAGCGTAGGAAGCTATATGGGTACTCATTTTCATCTATTAGAAATACAAAATAACTGTTTCCATATGAACGTGCACATTTTTGTCTCGTGTTACACCACGAAGTTGGACAAAAAAAATACAAAACTTTGAGTAGTGGATATTGTGATTGCATTTTAGATCTCTCTCTTCCTAAAAATATAAAAATAGTAATTAGGTTCAAAGCTTTCTTGGACAGTAAATTGGTACCAATGCAAAGAATTGATATATCGTACGTCCAACCAGCCATAAGATAATCTTTTACTGCATAATTTATTGCTTTGCAGCACAGACAATCCGTCTAACGTGCAAGTCTAAGCTTTCTACTGATGAAGATGATAATAGTATTCACATGTGATAGGCATGTCAATCCGTCTAACGTGCAAGTCTAAGCTTTCTACTGATGAAGCTGATAATAGTATTCACATGTGATACTGATAGGCATGTCTACTGAAAGCTTAATTCTGGAATAGGCAATTTGTATTCTTTCAATCGAACTAGCAACTTAGGCTGCAAGGAGTTCGAGTCTGTGACACTAGGCAAATCTTCCTAGAGCGTCTCACCATGCTTTTCTTAAACCAAATTTCACGAAAAAGAATATAAACCAAACTCAACATACGTATCAAGCAATATGCATTTTCAAGACAATCTAAATTCTAACATTGTGGAAGCTTTTCTCAGTCAACATAATAGTGATACACTTATAACACATAAGAAACCATCTTGGTTCGTCTATTCATCTTATTAGAAATACAAAAGAAGTGTTCCTACATGAGAACAAGTGACATTATGTCTCAATTATGTGTACTCCATTAAGTTGGATAACCATAGGTATAAAAGAACAAAATTTTGAGTAGTGAATCTTGTGATTCCATCCAAGATTTTCTTCTCCTAGAAACATAAAATTGTCATTAGGTTCATACCAAGCTTTGAAAATTCCATAATCTTTCTTGCTATTGGACTGCCCTTACAGGTTTCACTATCAACAATTTCAGCAATTTTGGGCAATATTCAAAACTCCAGTAACAGCTTTAAATTCTTTTAAAAATGTTAATTGCTGTTTTAAAAACTAATTACATAACTTGTGACATTTTTTATTATAATTTTTGAAGTTTAGATTAGCTTTTGATGAAACCTTGCACAATGTAGTTGCTGATTTAAGAATAGTTGCCAAAATTATGTAACGTTTGAATGAATTAACCTACTCAAATAAGTAGAGGACTTACATTTTTTATGGCTGAATAGCACTTAAATACCCTATAGTTTCACCTACTTTTCACTTATATACCCCCACTTGTATTTGGTAGCAAGAGAGTACCCTAAAGTTTTTTACACTTGCAGTTATATACCCTCACTATCTTTTGCGGCACATAAATACCCTAAAGTTTTTACAATTGGCACTTAAATACCCCAAAGTTTCTAAATCATGCACATAAGTACCCTAGGATATGCAAATTTGAGGGCATTTAAGTGCAAGTTTTAAAATTTTATGGTATTTAAGTGTCAGTTTTACAAACTTCTGGGTGTTTAAGTGCAAGTTCTAAAGATTTATGGTATTTAAGTGTCAGCTTTAGAAACTTTAGGGTATTTAAGTGCAAGTTTTAAAAACTTTAGGGTATATAAGTGCTACCATAAACAAGTGAGGGTATATAAGTGCAAGCTTAAAAAGCTTTAACGTGTTTTCTTGCTACCAACATGTGGGGTTATATAAGTGAAAAGTTGGTGAAACAATAGGGTATATACATGCTATTTAGCCTTCTCTTATTATGTAGTTTAATAAACTTGACCAGTTGACCCCTTGTTACTACAGTAAACACTAAACATTTTATATATTTAAAACTCAACTTGTTAACTTTTTTAAAATATAGATGAACTACAGAAATGCCCCCTGAGGTTTGCATGACTGAGAAAATCCCAAAAGAGTTTTGAAAGTGACATTTTATACCTCTATCTCTCAATTCCGACAAAATTGTCTTGGTTATAGAAGCTAATATCATAGGATATGACATTTATATGCACCCCACATAAACTCAAATAACTGTTCTATGAAAACCTGATTATTACATCCCTAGATTATCAATTGTTGGCTACAAATTGAAATGAGGTTTTTGTTGTCGCAGTAAGGAAGTAGTGCGCAGGGCCGGGAGGAGGGGGTTTGTTTGGATGGGGATGAAACTGTAACTTTCAAAACCATAGAATTTTTCTGTTTGCATAAACTTCATCACATCTTCAACTGACCTCCCTTTCTTGCTTTTTTAATTGTTCAACTGCTGGTTGTGACATGACAAACCTCAATCCCAATCATACACATCTACTTGCCTCTTTATTCTTCAAGGAAACTTTATATGATTACACTTATCTTTTTATTTCAGACTGGCATCAGTGCAGCAGGTAGTCCAGCTTGAAATTAGGCAACGCTGATTATTTTAAAATTTTTGTTCATACCCTTGTTTCTTTGATATTCAGTATTTAGTGTTGAGTGGAAAGCAATTATTTTAAATTTTAACTCAAATTATTAGCAGCGAAACGAAATAAAAGCAACTGATGAGTCCTCAGTTAGCAAAACTAACGTAAGGTTTATCCAGAAAAAGCTTAGTTGAGGAGGAGCCTTTAGTTCCATATAATTTTGTTTTCCTTCTTGGGGAATAAGGCATTACTTACTGCCTGCACACTGAAAATGACTAGTCCAAAACTTTTCTACATAGATTAGTTGTATAATGTCTATTAACGCTGATACAGTAATTCTAATTACTCATAAAGGACATAGTTCTCTCTTTATTTAATCTGAGATTAAGAAAAGTAAAGGGCACACAGGTGCCTCCATAATGTACATATTAAAACTAGGAGGGAGCAAACCTTAGGAAGGCCAGTGCTTCCACTTGTATACATGATGACAGCGACATCAGTGCTTGAAGGTAGTGAGGGAGCAGCAGGGTTTTCTTTCCCAATTCCCTCAACTTCATTAAATGATAGAACTTTCCATTTGTTCATGTTATCTTTGACAGCGGAATCAAATGGCTCATCTTCAAAATAAATGACAGTTTCTATGCTCTCTAAGCTTGAGCTTGTTGCTTGTAGTTTCTTCATTTGCTTTGAATCACATATCAGAACTGACACTTGAGTCTGCGATGAAAGCAAGATCATATCAGAAGGATCATAACCTCAACAAAAAATATGGAACAATACATTATTTTTCCTCCAATTCACACAAATGTTGCTTGCATTTTGATTAAAAAAAAGTAAAAAGAAACTTATACGAATACATATGCACATACGCATGCATTTGGATGGCCCTGAAAAGCACAAACATTTGGATGTCCCTGAAATTCTTTCTAGCATGTCTACACATGCATACACATATTACACCACATGCACACAGTTGCATACTTGCGTCTACACATCCACCTGAATGTACACCCTTCTCCTCTAAACATATAGTCTTGTCGCGTTGAAGAAGAGTCAGATTTGGAGGGAAAGTCCAGCCATAAAGGACTAGAAAAAATCATGACTTTATTGACAGAATGTCAACCTCTTACTAGCACACCGAGTTTTAGCATGAAATTCATAGTCAAGGTAACTATGCAACAGAGAGATGCTTGACGCTGAACCTAATCAGACAGTTGATGATGGGTTGAATTATCTACCATATGCATTTCAAGCTCATGAAACCAAGGACTGACCAGTCAAATTACCCTGAGACTAACAACGAGTCAAGGACAGGAGAGAAGGTTAAGAGGATAAATTTCTATAGGAATTCCCTTCATCTTTAGAGACATGATATTCAGCCAAAGAGCATAATAAAAGACATCTCAAATATATAGCCAAATAGTTCGGTAAAGATATCTCAAGTATATATAAATACATTTATTGTATCTTCCTAATAAAACTACTTTTCAGCAAGCGTTTTACCTATCATCACTTGCAAATGAGTTCTGGCGTATCCTGCTCCATCATTAATAATCTATTTTGAATGTGTAAATCAAGATGAATTGTAAAAGATCTACAATGGAGATTTCACAAAGCTTATTCTGAGAATTAGTTTCAAAGGAAGTCACTGGATCAATGTCTGTGATCTTGGTGTTTCTATAATCAATCTGCACACAAATTTTGAAATGACTGCTTTGCTGTTTGTAGTGAGACTGCTGTGGCTAACAAATCATAAAGATTTGTATCAAGGTCCTGTACATCAAACATAACACCCATAACTTATAGTTGATATGTCAAAATAGATTTTTTTTTTTTTTAAGAAAAGTCCCACAGATGCAAGGATGGTTATTACAAGTTGTACCTTACAACAAACACCAGGGTTCAGGAACAACAAGAGCTGATGGTAAATCAGATAAGAGTCATAAGACATTGTATGATTCAAGGAAGCATGCCAAGGAGATAAGCATAGACATATACCGACAAAGGGAAATCGCCAAGATTTATGCACGACTGTAAAAATTGATGGGAAGCATGGATCTGCTATGGGATAAATATGTTTACCAATTGAACCAGAGTGAAACTGATTTCATGGTGTCTTTACAATGTTGAAAATACGTGCATGTATGTGTAAAATAGACATCCATGTTGCTTAATTGTGCAAAATAAGAATCTGTCTGCTTGTAATGGAAAGATGCGCAGCATTTACTTCATTTCCATAAATATATTTCTGAACAAATATAAGTTTCTGGTGTTCCTATAAAAGGTGAATCATGTGTGGCACACAAGAAAGAGCTAATATTATGAGTAGTCACAATAAGGCATGTTCTAAATGTCGGATATTGGGGACATGTCGGATGGAAAATTTCTATACTGTGGATTGGAGAAGGATTAGAATGCTCCAGGACTGCCCTGACCCCCTCTATCCGGGGTACTCCAGTTCCCACTGAAGCAGCATCCCAAATCAGTATAGTCAATGTCCCCTTTGACTGCAACGGTGCTCTTGGGGATGAGAGTGTGGCCAATATATCAGCCATGTCGAGGATATTTAAAACAATGAGAACAAGTAATATGTACAGTAAAACGAACATTAACCATCATGTCCCCGAAATTCAAGCAGAAAGATGAAAATATTGAAATGTTAATACCTCTTTCAAATTAATTCCTTGACGACAAGTAAACTACAATTTAGCCACATGTGAAACATTGAACAACAAACACGATGTGGTAGTTGCTCCAATACCAAGCTAAGAGAAGAAAGGTAAATCAAATAGAAGTTTTCTCCTAAAATTGTAGGGGGAATAAATAAAAAGATGTAGCCTCCATCAGAGCTTTTATTAGTAAGAGCAATGTGTATGTTAAAACAAATAGAAGCAAGTAATCTCACCTCATTAAGAGAGTGGATAAGTGCATCCTCACCTAGAGATGCATAGATTGTTACAACTGTTATATTTTGACGGAAGCATCCCTGAAAATAAATCAAATAAGTGTTAAAAGACTTCTATCTGAGAATGCTTATCGTATAAGAAGTTTATATGAAATATAAACATAGTGTAGGTAACTGCTAGTATGATTCGCCAGCATTTGCCGAGAGAATACATCCTCATACTGCTGAGTAGCAAATTCCCATCTTGCTTATAACATTTTGTATTGAAACTGATCTTTTGCATAATGGCATATCTCCTCAAGAATCCCTCACAAGGATTTAAAGGACCAAATGTGATGGTTTGTACATTAACTACTAAATGGAATTCCAGGCAGCTTTCATACATTTACATGCTTACAGTTTTTGCAACTACATGCATATATCCAAACATGAGACCCAGAGCAAAAGAGTACCAAATATACCTGTAAAGTATTACAGAACCTAAATAAGTCAAGAAACCCTCTTGGTCATACATTCTTTTCCCGATCCATATAACCTTATTAACACAAGTGACTTAGCATCAAGGTTACACGGACACTTCTTCTAGGTTGTCGTATCCATGTCCGACACTTCCCGTATCCGTGTCCATGTCGGACACTCCGTAGACACTTCTTGAATACATATAAACATTTATTTAGATGTTTATATAACACATGTTTTAGTTTAATAAACTCGTGATACACTTCTTGAATGTATTATCGTACACTTAACCTCAAAATTATGCAACTTGTTAGACTCAGGACATGTTCGTTTTAGCACATGCCTAGTTCATAAGTACGATTTCAAAGGGAAGTTTGGGCATCTAGTTCAAAAACGAGTGGTTTTTTAATTTATAATCTACTCAATAAAAGAAACATAAAAATGATATAAGGATTTTAGTTCTCATAAAAACAATACTGATTTCACATAGATTATTAATTTTAATATATACGAATATAGTTGTGTTCCTACATCCTAACTTTTACAATTTTGTCGTGTCCCGTATCCACACCTATGTTCGTGTTCCCACCAGTGCCCGTATCCGTGCAACTTAGCTCAGCATAGTAAATAGATTATTATAGTTAATTGAGGACCGACCTCACATCAAAATTTCATTTTAGATCAAAGCATTTAGATTATACTGTAAGAACACTTAAAAGAATAAAAATACATCAAAATTAGAACTTGGATAATACCTGAAATGCGAGAACCCACTCTGCCCTAGTATCTGAAAAAATTGCAGCACGGCTGCCAGTGCTGTGGCCTAATTTGGCAAGACCAGATGCAAAATTGCAAGATCGATCAAATGATGCTCCATATGTCTCCCATTCATACTTCCCCAGATGTAGCTTCTCAAATTTCCTACCGCCACCAGCTTCAACAAACTCCCGCGAAATCACCTTTCTTGTTCCAAGAAACCGCTCCTGGGCATTCTTTCTGCAAGACTGCTCAAACAATGCTGCCATTGTTGTGGCACCATCCCAAGGAACCTTAACTAGCGAAGGAAATCTACTATTCCTCATAGTCAAACCTGGCTCACCTCCAACATCTACGGGGACTGCTCTTTGCTTAACCTTCTTTCTACCCATGATTACCGTGGAAAATATCAAAGGTAGAATAACAGAAATAATAACTGCACCAATAATGCCCTGATATCCATATTCTTTCTCAAAGCGCATGAAACTTCCATAGATTCTTTCATAGAATTGCATGAGCATATGGCCTACTTCAGCACCATCCATTATGCATGTATGTAAATATTTATAATTAGCATCCTGTTCAAAAGAAAATTAAGGAGAATATTATTAACAAGATTAGTCAATCAGAAAAGACAAAGTGAAACTATCAAGTGTAACAAAAATTTCCAGATGTACACACTTGCATATTTAATTCAAACCACCCTGCAGTAAGGCTGATTGATGACTAATTACAAAAGGATGCTAGTGACAAGAAGATGAATAAGCAATATACTTACTTGGATTAAATATGAGTACTATGAACAATTGATATACAGGACAGTTCATAAAGAAAACATCTACTTCAGACCATAGCATAAGATAAGTGAAAATACATCATCAAACTACTTCAATCTGCAACTGTTGATACGAGTCGCCGTGCGAACACCTTTGATCGCGGAATTATCAAAGGTGGTTTTGAGAAGAAGACAGTAAGACACACAAAACAATTTAATTGGCGAAGGAAAATGTCTTCTCTAGATTATGAAGAATAAAAGATTACAAAATCTCTCTCCCACAATCTCTCTAGAATAAAGAACATCTTCTCTATCCTCTTTAAACTCTCATCTCTTGATTAGAATCTCCCATTTAGAAACCCTAAACAATACCTATTTATAGGTTAAACAATGTGGGTAGCAAAGTGGTAAATACCCAAGTCAAACCCAACTAGAATTCATCTCAAAACAGAATCCAAATCAGCCAAGGAAAACCCCGTCAATCGACCGACATGCCTAGTTCGGTCAACCGACCAGAAAGCCGTTTTCTCGACCCTGCAGGTGCATGCTTTCGGTCAACCGATGTTGATCATTCGGTCGACCGATGGTGCTTTCGCGGTCGACCGTTGCAAGCTCTTCGATCAACCGGCCAGAGCTGCTTCGCCAGCTTCCTGATTTTCACCGTTTTCCTGCTTTTGACCGTTTTCTCCGTCATTCGCGGCTCCGCCCATGCTTTTATTCTCAAGCTACCATGAGAATCATCTATCATCAAGCTCCCATGAGAATCGCTAAGTATCCAAAGCAGAGAAGAAGATACACCCGTATCAACTGTACTCCATATTTGAGGTGCCTTTTGGTCAAAGGTGCCACCCCTTGGAAGTTGCATGGTTCAGTACACAAATTACATCAATAGCGTACCTCCCAAAATGATATGGATAACTTTTGCTGCACCATCATGGAGTTTATCATGTTTGACAATGTTCAGTTCTTCTCCCCGCCACTTTTTTCTAGGGGATGTAAATACTAATAAGCTATCAGGCCATTCTTATTCTTCTCACACAATTTATTGAACTATTTGGTTAAATAACCATGATCATGATCAGTCCTTAGCATTTTCACACTGGTTAAATCAAGTCTCAGTGTCATATTATATTCAAAGAAATTCAGAGACTCAAACTAGGAAAATAGTAGATTTAAGTAAATCGTGAATGATCCTATACAGTCATATATGAATGAAGTAATAGCTCTAGTTTAAATATTCACTTAATTGGACCTTAAATGTCGAACAGTGCAACTAGCTTACCTGGATGCTAAGCGGCCAGTAGCACAAGTGAACCCCTTGTCAGCCTAAAATTAAACTCAAGATGTTTCTGAGCATTGTCATTGGGTCGTGTCGTACTAGCATAGTCTGGCTGTTGCATGGGTTAGTACATGAGGACCCTGCGTGTGCACAGGCTCAATCTGCAGGATAACATTGTTGCATGAAGTTGACCCTTCTATGCATCACACACAGCCTTGCCTAGCATGCTGCAGTACAGTTGGCCTGGTCACGTGCAGCTGCAAGCCTGCAATATGAGGCAAGCCTACACGATCGATACATGGGCTAGGTTCCCACATCGGACTTGACTACGGTAAAGTTACATGTGCATTCTCATCACTAATTACTATGCAAGTGCAAAGTCTGTAGTCGTGAACTAGAATAACTATGGTAAAATCTTATTTCAATTTTATTGTTGCATCGCCTAATGATCTGAAGGGACCTCTTTATAACACACTGGCTTCATTTTCATAGATGTAATGGGCATCAAATATCATCTTTTGAATGAGATGAAATTGACTCACTAGAACATTCTTCACTGAAACCCTGTGCACTGCTTATTATTGGACCAAGACCGGATACAAACTGTTGAAGTTAATTCAAATAATAATCATTATTGCTCTTTGTTCTACCTTACAGTATACGCCTTGATGATGATGATGTCTTTTAAAGGATCAAATGGTTTACAATTAATAAAGTAAACAAAATTCTATAGATAACTCATATGAACCAACTTCTAAAGATAAAACACTCCTATAAATAAAACGAACTCTAAAAGAGAGTTAACTCAAACATCACCTAAAAGTATTCTAGGATAAGGACAAACTTCAACATGCCCCTTAACCCTGATTATATAAAGTTGTCATTCTCATCATAACCTTCAGCTTGATAAATGCTTCAAACTTCTAGGATTTAGTGAGGATACCAGCAACTTGATTTTCGAACTTGCAATACAACAACACTACCTCGTTCTTTCCAACATGATGTCAAAGACCAAACCTTTGATGCTCCCAATTATTTAATCAACTCCCTTTGTGTAACTCCTTCCTCCATTGTTGTGTCCATTCTCATACTTATTTCTATGAAAATTGTTACCATTTTCTTAGAAGTTTTCCTGGATTACAGTTCCATTCTCCAACTAATAATCGTTATATTGTTGACTCTCACTTTGATGAGGAAATTGATTGTTGTTTCTAAAATTCCTTGTACCCTCTACCTTGTCCTCTCCTTCCATTAAAATCCCCATTGTTCAGGATGCGGGAACCACTTCCTCTTCCCCTCACTTTTTCAATTTGGTGTGAGGCTACAAGCCCCTTGTTACAGCCGCCGCCAATGTTGCCTCCTCTGCCTTCTTTTTGGATAACATTGAATTTTTGCAGTCGATTAAAGAAACATGTCAAAGTTAACCCTTATCCTAGAACACTTCTAGATTATGTTTGATTTAAACTATCGGAGTTTGTTTTACTCATGAGTTTGTTTAATCATAAAGAGTTGGTTCATATGAGCTATCTATATAATTTTGCTTACTTATATCTTTACTAAACCATATAACCCAAGCTGTTAAAAAGACATCATCATCAAGGCATGTAATGTAGGATAAAATAGAGAGCAATAAATACTATTATTATTTGGCTTCTTCCATCTCTCTCCCACATATATTTGTAATTTTCTTAAGTTTTGTGCTTGGTCCAATACAAGCTACAACACAGCTCGGGTTGGAAACAAACCAAATAATTAACAAGTAATTTGTTAATTCTTCATAAAGGCATTAGATCATATTCAAGTCAATAGTTCATTTAGCACTAAATAAATATTTTTTAGTGTTCAGTTCATAAATGAATATAATTTTAACTAGAGGTATCTTCAATTCATTTGATTATTAACTATTCATTTATGTTATAAATTTTATTTATTGCAAATATTATCCATCACAAACTTTTTTTTAACACATTCAATCCCTATATAAATAAGTTAACAATCTAGGCTCATATAGATATTAACATCCTAGGATTATATATATAAGTTTGATAGAGTAGGCCTACAAACATGATAGGTCCATTTAAAGTTAATAATCCCTCTTCCCCTCCCTCCTTCGTGTCATTTCCTCACGTCGCCATACTCTCCTGAGGATCTCCTCTCTCCCGAAGATCTCTCTAGGTGTATGGAAAAAGAGGTCGTAATTAAATAATCTCTCTAGGTGTATGGTACCTCTATATACAAATTGAATTTGAATTGATTTAGTATTTGAACCAAATCTGAATATGAATTTTGTAGAGAAATTGACAAGGCAAAAAAAATTTATTCATCTAACCCTAATCTCTCTTAAATAGATATTAAAAGGATACTACAAAATAGGTATGAGATAAAATTATATACAATCTCATCTCATAATATCTCAATAATATCTCCTAAATCTAAACACCAATAATATCTAACACTCTCCTCAAGCTAGAGCATATACAACTATATACATCCAGCTTGTCACAAATCAAAATAAACAACTAGTTGCAAGAGCTTTGACAATGTCATTTTTGTCTGGATACTTGAAAACGTCATCAACCGGGATATTATAGTCACAGCCTATGTAGCACGGACACGGATCCGACACGGCCATCCGACACGCCGACACGAGGCAAATCCTAAAAAATACATAGGATACGTGTGTTCGACACGTGTGTCCGACACGGACACGACACGACACGGTTTCATGTTATGTGTGTCCGTGCTTCATAGGTCACAGCCAATAGAAACCCTAGACCGGTAAGCCAATAAAAGAAACTCTACACTGGTAGGTCAATAGAAAAAACCATAGACAGCTAAGCCAGTAGAAATCCTAGGCGTGTATGCTACTAGAAACCTTAGGTAGGTAAGCCAATAGAAATCTTAGATGGGTAAACTAGCAAAAATAACATCGAAAAAGAACCGTTGTCACTGCATATAACCACAAAAAATGTCGAAGAGTGAATAGTAACTCTGATTACCGTTCATTTCATGAACAGTAACCTCGATTCTGTTGATCTTGTGAACAGTAGATTGCATTTTTTATTTAGGTTCTTTTGTAGAAGGTGTTTGACAAGATCTAGAAAACAATGATGTCGAAGCTATTGTTGATGTGTTGAAGCCATCGATGCCATCAAAGCCACCAAGGGGTGCATGAAGGCCATGCAAAACCCCTCAACGGTCTCGAGATCTAAAAAGATGGGAGAAGTTCTAAAGGATCAAGTAGGCTTTGATACCATTTATGATACCATATAGAGAAATAGAGAAAGCAAAGTTTTTTTTCATCTGACCCTAACCTCTCTCAAATAGATATTAGGTATCTATTCCTCTATAATAATGGGATGATCCAAGATTCACTATTTATGCCACAGCAAATTACTGGAGCATTATTACTGTAGCACATGAAGACCCAAGATTTACTATTCATGCTACAATAAATATTGTAGCATTTATTATTGTATCACAAGCGGGTTATAGCGTTTAAAAATATTGCTATAGCAGCATTACTGTAGCAGAAATAAAAAAAATGAAGGTCATGCTTTGCAAGGGGTGCACACTAGTTAGGAGGATATTACAAAATAGGTATAAGATAAAATCACGTCCAATCACGTCTCATAATATCTCGATAATATCTCATAAATCCAAATACCAATAATATTCTAACAAATTTGAATATCTCAATCCGAACCAAAGTCAAGTTCAAATAGTGTGATATTCGATTCAATTTGTTTCCTTAGTCACAGCATCAACCTGACCCAATTCAGACGAGGTTCAAGTTTGGCTTCAATTGGACCTACGCCTACTACCAAAGTAGCCCTAGGTGCAAAAAATCTGACCAAACCAATTCTATGAGATATACTGTGATAAACATTAGTACGAGAGGTTGATGCAACAATTAATAATTTACGAGTGCTTTTTTGTCCTGTTGCGCAAATCAGTTACAAGGCTTCGATATTAGATTTCTTCTTCAATAAGAACCATGTCAAATCATAGCGATAATCAAGGTGCTTTGCGAATCATCAGTTCATATAAGAAAATGAAAAATTCACAACTACGCCATCCTCGCACAAATTTCAGAACCCTAGATCGATCAAACATACCTAGAGACGCGAGTATCATAGGACCCAGGAAAAAAGGGCAAATATGGTCTTAATTACACGGACGCATTCAATAGGATGAGCTAAGATTATAAATTTGTATTAAAAAAAATTACCAAAATTTACCAGAAAAAGTCGTCGCCGGCCTTCTTCCTTCTCGACCAAGCAAGCAGCGAGAGCTTGAACGCTAAGCGAACTTTATACTGTATGACAAAGGCAGGTGTAGTATTATTAAAAATTATTCGATTATTATGATGTGACGGGAACAATAAGTTTGACGCTGACGACATTTACGAGGGTAACCCCTCTGAGTCGGCCCGAACAAACCTGGATTAGCATGTGATCAGATGGGACGTGCAAGGTTAAAATGGTGATTTCGGTTGAGTGGAATCATCACCGCGTGTCCCCTGCCGCAGCGGCTTTAACGGGAAACGTGTCTTCTTTCTAGAAAGCAGTGGACGGGGTTGGGCCCCCTCGTGAGCGGCACCCGGGCACCCGGCCCAAGGTGGCAACTTTTTGGTATCAGTGTGGTCGCTGTGCCCTGGCAGCGCAGTCTAGGGCCACAAGAGAAAACAAAGGGTGCGAACGGCGAACGCACCTTCTTTGGGTTTCTACCAGGCCCACCGTGAGCTAGCCATTTAGAACGAGCGCGACTTTTTCGAGACTCCCTTCGCGTTAATAAACATTAAGGGTCTGTTTGGATTTGTAGAGGGTGAAGGGAAGTTAAGGGAAACTGAGTGAAGGGAAGGGAAGGGAAGAGAAGGGAATTCCCTTCCCCTTGGTTACACCCCAATTTGAGAGGTAACAATTTTTATACTATTAGGGGGTGAACCAAGGGGAACTAGGGTGAATTAACTTCACCTCCTAAGTGTTCCCAAACAAGGTGAATGGAGGTGAATGGTTCCCCTAACTTCCCTTCACCCTCATTCCCCTCAATCCAAACAAGCCCTAAAGGAACTAGAGAAAAATACAGATTGAAAGAGCTGAGCTGAGCTGAGGGGGAAACACAGGCGATTTGAGCAAGAAGGTTATGCTAATGGGTGGCATGCTGGAATTTCATATTCGGGAGATGAGCTGAGGGGGAACACAGGAGAGCTCCTTCTCTCTCTCTCTCTCTCTTGATTTAGGGGTGGTTATTGGTTGGGATAAATAGGGGCCAAATGGGAAAATTGTTCCAATAGAACATTTTTACCCCTTTGGGATATTTTGAATGGGGTAAAGTGGGATAATGGGATAATTTGAGCCTTTAATTTAACAATGCATGTGGGATAATTGATGATGTGGCACCTTATTAAAATATAATTTTATCTATTAATTACTTCTAAATTAACTTATCCAATTGGTTTAGTATATTATTATAATGTAAATATTATTTTACTTTATATTAAAATATAATATATTATACTATACTTACAAATTACTTTTATTAATTATTATATTATATTATATTAGCATGATATACTATATATAATAATTAATATAATATATTGTTAATATATTTAATATAATATTTTAATAATATAATATTAAATATAATATATTATTTTATTTATACAAAAATATAATATGTTATACAATAACTACTAATTAACATTATATTAGTATGCTACATTATATAATAATTGATATAATATATGAATAATATATATATTATATTAGTATGCTACATTATATAATAATTGATATGAATAATATATTTAATATAATACTTTAATAATATATTATTTAATTTAATTTATTATAATATATTATCGTAGGATATAATGTACTTTATAAAATATTATAATATTTTACTTTATTCAATTTAATATTTTTTTAAAATATTATATTAAATTAAGGTGCAATTGTCTCACTAGTGTTCCAAAAAACCAATAACACAAAAAGGTATTATCCTTATTCCATTGCCCTAATGAATAACACTATGAAATAGAATCTCCAAAATTATCTCATTATCCCCCAAAATATCTCAACCAATAACCCTCCTTAGAGGAGTGCTAGTCGCACCAGCGCAATGGGAGTGTCACCGGCACTTAGCCCCAAAAATAAGGGGGTGGGGTCCGTGGGGATTAACTTAACACTAACCTAGGTAACCCCTAACCCAACCCAACCCCCCTGTTTTTGGAGCGAATGATGGCGGCATTCGCCTCGCGCGAGTACCGCTAGCACGACAACTTATTTCATATTTAATCAAGCACTATTTCCTCGGTGCTTCATTATTGCACTTCAATTCATAGATCTTTCTCGTTTATTTTATACCATACTACCTTTAAAACTACAAGTTCGGGAAAATCTTTCTATGGTCAATATTACCCTTGACTATTTGAATATTCTATTTAAATTTTAATTTATTATAATCATAATTATATCATATCCTAATTTTATGTGAACTACTTACAGGTTAATAATTTAAAGATTAATAAGTTATAATATAAGAAGATTGCAAAAAACCCCCAAAAAGTTTCAAAATTGCACAAAACACCCTTAAAAGCATAAAATTACACAAAACATCCAGACGTTTCAAAACTTAAAACAACAAACATGAAACCCTTAATATTTTAAAAACTATAAAAACACCCTCAAAAGTTCAAATAATAACAAAGCACTATGAAATTATGAAATTTCAAAACTTGTGAACAACAAAGACAAATTCAAGGAATTGCTATCAGACACTAAAAAACTAAAATTTGTAAAAAAATAACCTCAAAGTTATAAATATTTTGAAAAACTCATTCGAAAACTAAAAAACACAGAAAACCCTAAAATGTAATAACTTATAACCAATACATATCAAATCTTAAAATTATGCGAGTTTAGGAAAATCTTTCCATGGTCAATATTACCCTTGACTATTTGAATATTTTATTTAAATTTAATTTATTATAATCATAATTATATCCTATCCTAATCCTATGTGAACTACTTACAGGTCAATAATTTAAAAATTAATAAACTATAATATATGAAGATTTCAAAAAGAACCCCAAAAAAATTTAAAAATTTCACAAAACACCCTTAAAAGTATAAAATTACACAAAACATCCAGACGTTTCAAAACTTAAAACAACAAACATGAAACCATAAATATTTTAAAAACTATAAAAACATACTCAAAAGTTCAAATAATAAAAAACCACTATGAAATTCTGAAATTTCAAAACTTTTGAATAACAAAGACGAATTCAAGGAATTACTATCAAACACTAAAAAAATAAAATTTATAAAAAATAACCTCAAAGTTATAAAAATTCCGAAAAAAACCTTCGAAAATTAAAAAACGCACAAAACCCTAAAATTTAATAACTTATAACCAATACATATCAAATCTAAAAATTATCAACTGATGCGGCATAATTATGTACCAAAATTGCAAGTGCACAATTTATCAAGTTATAGTATAAAAAGATATCGATCCCACGAAGAAGGTGATTTTAAGAGATTATTAAACTTGGTTCTTATATTTTGTGCGTGACAATTAGGAATAAAGAATAAGTGTGAATATGATGAGTGATTGTTGTGAATATTTGCAAAAGATAATAAATTGAATTTTAGAGGAGAGAAGGAAGAATTAAAGAATAAATGAAATCACAAGGCAAGAAATATGAATTAATAAAATCAAGAAATAAAACCAAAAATGAAAAGAAAATTTAAGAAAGTTAAGATGAAGGATTCAAAAGAGGTAAGAAATCTAGAATATAATCCACTAACCAATTTCAATTACAAAATATAAACTATTCTCTTTTTATCATATTTCAACTTAGATTTATTAAGCATAGATTATCAAACCATTTAAGGAAAGTGTAACCTATCAAATTATCATCTAAGTTAAAATTACTATTCATGATAAGAACAACAACATGATAATAATCCTAGAATTCATAAGCATAACCTATCAAACCATTTAAGATAAGCATAGATTATCAAATTCTTCTTCTACCGATTAGTTCTCTAGTTGATTATCCTAACATGAACATTTTAAGTACAAGAGAATAATTCATACAATATAAAAGAAATTAGACTAGTTTCATACAATTCTAAGATTCCTACAAGAATTAAATTCACATCTTAAGAAATAAAAACAAGAAAAAGAAGACTAATTACAAAATTAAAAAGAAAAGAAAAATCTAAACTATGAACAAGAAATAAATCTAATTACAAAGAAAATAAAAATCTAAACTACAAAATAAATTGCAGAAATTAAATGCAAGAAAAATAAATCTACTCTACAAATTAAAGTGCAAAAAGAAAATAAAAAAGACAAGAAAGTAAATCTATACTACAAGCATGAATTTAAATCTAACTAATAAGCAATAATAAAGAAATTACTAAAAAGAAATAAAAGAGAAAAGAAATGCAAACCTTCAAATTGCTCTTCATCTCCATCCTCATCATTCAACAAGAGGAGAAAGAACAAATTTAAAGAGGAAAAAATTATTTTTATTAATTGCAACTAAAGTTATAATTTTTGGAAGGCCTTCTCAATTAAGAGTAGCCCTCCTCTCCAAAAGGAGTTTTCATAAATTTTCACACCTCTAACCCCTCACTCTCTACCCCTATTTATAGTAATCTTCAATGAATATGAGCCATTGGATTTGTCTTGAGCCCCAAGCAACAATCTCCACCTTTGAATTTGCTTTTTGTTCTTCTCTAGCCCAAATATAGGAGGCCCAATTGATTTCAAGAAACAATTGAAAATTAAGTTGATCCATGAAGCAATCAAGTCCAGCCCATATGGAAATTAAATCTCCAGCAACCCAAGTTCCATTTATTTTCAAAATTAATTGCAACTAAAGTTACAATTTTTGGAAGGCCTTCTCAATTAAGAGTAGCCCTCCTCTCCAAAAGGAGTTTACAAAATTTTCACACCTTTAACCCCTCACTCTCTACCCCTATTTATAGTAATCTTCAATGAATATGAGCCATTGGATTTGTCTTGAGCCCCAAGCAACAATCTCCACCTTTGAATTTGCTTTTTGTTCTTCTCTAGCCCAAATATAGGAGGCCCAATTGATTTTCAAAAATAAATGAAAATCAAGTTCTCAGCAGGTCCGGTTTCTGCAGCAATTAACATTTGAAATCCGGCCCAATTGAAGCTTCATTTTCAAGAATTAAAGAAGCAAGTCGGCCATTTCAATTCCTTGAAGTCCAGCACAACCGAATTCTATCCTCATGCATCAGGTCCGGCCCATAGAAGAAATTCACAAGTAATCAA